CCCTATTGCAGTAACATTTTAGCTTTTCATCTCTGCTGAAACTTATGGTTTCAAGGAGACACCCTAACTTATTAAGTTTCTATTCCATCCTCACCCCACTTTGACACTTCCATAATTCTAGCGAGGTTTCAAAATGCAGATTATTCAGTTAAATTTAGTCAATTAAATTACTCAATGCTACATAACACATCTGATGAGCTGTGCTATTTGTGCAAAGCTGGAGCATTTGGCTTAGGCATTTAAGTTTCCCTTGCGCACGTTAGTAGATCTCAGAAGGAATAATGTAATCAGAAGTCATAATCTGTGTTAGAACCAGGAGTAGTGAGTAATTAAGGCTTTAAACGTTTGGCGCTGGTTGTGGTCAGGATCTATCCAGAGTTCCAGTTTCAAGTGACAGTCAAACCTTGCCTTTGAAAGCATGCCAGTACTCCCCGTTTGAGTTTGGTATTTTATACACGGACTACAATAACGACGCTCTAAACACTGTGAGAGAGAAGCAGCAGATGCCATTCGAAAGAGAAAGATTAAGTCATGTTTGGAGAAATGGAAGGCTTTGTGGCACCTTTTAACAGGCGGTCCCCTGTTGACTTCTGAGGATGTCAATTTTCCACCTGCTGATTTGATGGTTTGTGACCCCAGCGAAGGTGAGAGGGCAGAATGACCTTTCTGTTTTCTAGGGGCTGCAAGGCAGTGCCTTTGAAACTTGGAACTAGGGCTTTGCTATTCTGATAGGCTGTTTATAAACAGAAGCGTGATTGCGTTCCCATTGCTGTAACAAAGGTTTCCTGAAATGCTTCCTGCCTCATGCATGAGTCAAGCCGCCTTTGAAATTCTCTGGTAGGAGCTTGCTGGTATAAATTTAGCATCATTTATATGGGTCTCACACTGAAAAAGCAATTAGCTGAAAAATGCCTTTTTCATTCGATTGAATTATTCTCGCTGGGTCCAGATTTAATTCATAAATGTCAGATAAGAGGAAAGGAGGAGGATACAGGAAGTCTCATTAATTTAGAAAATAAGAAGTTTCCTTTTAGCTGCAGTCTGCATATAACTAGACAAGAATTGATGTCCCAGTCTATCACTATAAAATCACAAATTAAAAAGATTATAAGGATTGCTTATTTCATGCCACTCTTTATCAACATAACCCTTAGAAATTGTAGTGATTTCCCCCGTTTTTTTTTTTGTGTTTTTTTTTTTTACCACCTTTACCACAGTAGATGTTCAATAAATATTTGTTGAAAGGAAAACTTGTTACTTAATAAATTCTAAGTATTATGACCATAGGGTTATATAAACCTGTACAACAATATCAGAACTTTAATCAAAGAACCAGTGATATATCATATGTTCTTCTGCTTAATCGTAACCAAACCAGATTTTTGCCCAGAAATCAGCTGAATGTAAAATTTTAAAGAACATAATCACTTATAATCTCTTTGCTTCTTGATTAATTTGTGGCCTTTGTGTCTGTATCTCACAGTTGTGTGTGTGTGTGTGTGTGTGTGTGTGTGTGTGTTTGGGGCAGATGTGGCTATTGTTGACCTATATATGATTGTGAAGATTTTTATCACTTTAATAACTATTAATTTTATATTTTATATATGGCTGTCACAATAGGAAAAATAAAGTTTTATCACAAAAAAACGAATGCCTTTTGAAAAGTAACTACATTATTCAATTAACCAAAAGACATGAGACAAACAGATTTTACTTATGTCTTAATAACCAATGTTCAAGAGATGAATCTCTTTCATTGACTTCTTTCTCTCAAAGGGAACCGAGAATGTCAAAGAAAATGAAAGCTGCTCCAAGTCAGTTTGGTCTGGATTCTAACTGGGAATTATACTCCAATGACAGGTAGAGGGCTGGTGCTAAAACAACAGGGACTAAAGCAGGAAGCTTTGCCTTTGACAGTGAATGACTAAAGAGCTGTGTTAAAAAAGACTGTAATTTGGTTAGATAATGCTATGGGAGCAATGAAAGAGCTGCTGGTCTGGTTAACGGGGCTTGGTATAATGACCTTAAGTATCCCCACTGTCTGTGTCTAGCTTGATCCTCATTTTAAAAAGCTTTCCTGGTATGTGGGCAGTATTTGTTGAATAGAAGGGCTATTAATGGGGGAAAAAGTCAGATGGAACACTGTGCTCTCTCAGTTTTTCTGGGAAAGGAAGTAACAATGAAATGATTCCATCAATAACATTATTTGCAACTTTGAGTCAATCTTTTCAAAATATAGCTTTAAAAATCATGCTTTTTTCCAAACCACATTTTTAGATCATAAAACCCAACCAGATTCTAGAGTAGGGAAAATTCAGTACTCATTGGCCATTGCCTAAAACCTACTGTTCTCCAGTGCATGGTATACATCTGTGTGTGTGTGTGTGTGTGTGTGTGTGTGTGTGTGTGTGTGTGTGTGAGAGAGAGAGAGAGAGAGAGAGAGAGAGAGAGAGAGAGAGGTGTTTTAATAGGTAATCTGTGTAGGTAGCTTGTGGGAGATGTTCAGGAGTTAGGTTATGTATATAAAAACTTTGAATAGTTGGAGGCCAATCCCTCTGTGTAGCAGTGACTTTTATCCTCAATTGGACAGATAGGGAAATGAGCTCTGGGGTTTTTGTTTGTTTGCTTGTTTCTAGGTTAACCATAATTTGGAAATGAAGCTACAAAACAGAGACCAATGAAATATAACCAAGTAGGCATCAGGCTTCTTGGAAAAATGAAGCTGAACTGAATTAAATATCTATCCTTTCAGGAAGTGGACTGACTCTGCAACTCTGCCCCAGCCAGAGTCACCTCTTCCCCACTCTGCCATACTGTGTTCCAAGAATAAGCTGAGTGCTTCCCACATAAATACTGCAAAGACTTGCAATGGTCCAGCAAATTTGGCACACAGGATGCTTTCACGTGCTTGAATAAAGAACAATAGCCTTTCGTCAGTATCTCTTTGGGTCTGTGCTCTTTGCATTGCATTGGTAGGGAGAAAATTTGAAGATCAAGCACTAAAAACTGTAACTTTGTAGACATACCGTACATGCTACTGATCAAGCAAAACCTCAATCAGATTACCAAGGGGCTTATCATTCAAAAATAATATCCCTGCCTTTCTTACTTTACCTCCATAAAGGATAAAACCAAACATACTTTAACGTTAATATTAATGGTTATAAATTTGGCCCATTGGTGGGTAGAGAAGGGGCAGGAACCAACAGCTCAGTGGAGAGCTGCAAGTAAACGCATTTCCCCCAAGTCAAGTTTTAGTAGAAACGTTTCCTTTGGAGGACTTCAGATCAAACATTTCCAAGTTCAGTGAAGTAAGATGGCATTTTTTAAGAAACTGAGATCTACGATCTATGTATGTCCATATTTCTAAACATTCACGTTTAAAGGACAAAAAAATAAGTAGCGATGCAGTCACTGAATAGCAAGGCATGTCCACATTTCAAAGAGGCAGAAACTGTGAAATTGATATAACAATAGGTCCAAAATATGGAACAGACTTAGCATAGTTATAGTGTATTTAAAAAAAGGTAAAACACGCTATTTAATTACCTAAATTAATTTACAGGAAAGTTAGGATCTTAGAAGTCCTCCGACGAGCCACGTGTAGATAATCTAAAGGTGGGGAGTGCTGTTTTATTTCTAACTGTCCCCTTTAACAAGAGAACGTGAGGTAATTAGAAAGTATTCAATGCTTTCTGGACTGTTCTGTTAAATGTCCCAGGCAAGAAAAACCAAAATGCTGCAGAAAGTAAGGCCTAGTTGAGTATTTGGGTAGAGGCCCCCCCTTCAATCAGCTAGTCACTAAGTGGAAATCTCATCAGACACTCATTCTGTAGAGATGGATTGATCTCGCTGTAGAAAAGGCTGGCTGCTGAGGATGTGTCTCTTCCATGTTCCTCAGCCTCTTCTGCTTTTACAGAGTTAGGTCTTCAGAGCGGCGAAGGAAAACAGGTAATTTTTCCTTCACAGAGTACCATGGGATGATTCCTCTATAGTAAGTATATGAACCTTATCATAGTTACAGATTTAAAAAAATTGTTTTAAAATGTGTCGTCTCAAAGAGTTCTCAGTCCCCACCCCTCACAAGTTACCATGAAGGGGCACTAAAGTGCATTTGGATGTAGGGGAGTAGAGTTTTAAAAGTGCTGTCCAAGGTAAGAACCAAGATGATGCTGTTTAAAAAAGAAAGGCAATTCCTTCTACCTCCATCTCTGGAGTCAACGGAGGGAGGGCAATGAACTAGACCCTCCCTAAAGGATTGTCCTAACTCTTAACTTGAGAGAAAACTGTGTAAGGACCTGCACATATAGACTCATTTATTTGTCCAAAATAGCAAAAATAGGCTTATTTCACCCTTAAGAAAGTATTTGCAAATTTGATCAGTTAGTGATCTTAAAAACATGAATGGATTCCAGGTGCAATCCATGTGGGCATGCTCGGTGGTGCTAACTATGCATCTTCAGCTTAAAAGAACATGCTGCTGCTCATTTTCATCAAAACATGACTCCTAGCTACCATAAATAAAATACACATGGAACAATTAAATCTTTTTCTTACAATAATTACTTTTACATGAAAAAGTCACCATCATCTTCGGATAATATCGAAAAGTAGGACTCTAACTCTTACTCTTTCCCAGTCTTAGTTAACAATTTTGCACAGGCCCGAAAATCCAAAACTTGGAGCTCTGGTCTACACAACTTGGCAGGTTTCACACAGTTTGACAGGTAGGCAATTGTGAACTATGCTTTTTTTTTTTTTTTTTTTTAAATTAGCATTTTCTATCAAAACAGTCTGAAATCGTTTAAAATCCTCACAGAGACTGTATTTGTGCAATGCCACAGACACACAGCTAGGAAGGGGAAAACAAAGTACAGCCTGGAAGAATTCATCACAGTCCAAGTTTTCTTGGTCCTCAGTTTGAACCACCACGAGCCCAGGAAATCCGATTAAATACAGCGCTTGGAATAGTAGACTTGGTCCCAGGATAACTTAGGCTACTAGACGGGGACGGTCTCGACCACGGGCGACTTGATGCACTCTTCGTGCAGTCTGCTCTTCTCTGCGAGGCTCAAGGGGTTTTCGGCAGAATGCTCCGAAATGTGACTGCCATTCAAGGTCGAGACGAACCCCTCCGGGGAGGGGCCTTTCAAGTATGAGTGAAATTCCATCGGAGGATGGCCGGGCCTGTGTTCGGGATATAAGCTATTGCAGGCCACGCCGCTGTCATTTTCCGAGGACGAGCAGCAGACGATGACAGAGGGGTTGGCAGCTGGGTAGTGGGAGGTGCCGTAGGCCTCTTCTGCGTGTCGGGCATAGTCAACGAACTGCTCTGGGGTCATGGAGTAAGGCACCAGCGAGAGGGTACCGTTTTTGACAGCATCTCTTTCAGCATAGTTCTCAGAGATCTGGTTAGGAGGTCCCGGAATGTGGCTATCGATCTGGTAATACAGAGTTGAAGAGTTGGCATAAAAAGAGGCATTTTTCGCGTGGCTTTCGTGCACGGCGGTGCCATCTGAGTAACACAGGACGGAAGGAAGAGGGACGACTTCAGCATGGGCACCCAAACCTTCCATGAAGCTGTCTCCTTTCTCATCCTCCTCCTCTTCCTCTTCCTCCTCTTCCTCCTCCTCCTCCTCATCGGACTCACTGGGTGCCAAGCTCTGCGTGCTGGAATCGGTGATGCCGCTGCAGAAGCTGCTCCCATCCTCCTCCTCCTCCTCCTCTTCCTCCTCCTCTCCTTGGCAATCTAATTCCTCGGCGGACTGCAAGTGCAGTACTGCGGCCTGGGGGTCAGTTTCAATCTCGAAATTGTCTGTGATAGAATATTCTACGGAGTGAGAGACAGGGCCCATGGAACTACTGTGAGCACTTATCTCACCATGGCAGCCGTTCAGCTCTCGGTTTTTCTCCAGTTCAAGTTTCATTATTGTGTGCAAGAAGTGAGTCCGGACGCGGATAGGATTAAATTCAATTCTACCTGCTGTGTTGCTACATCCTTCTTTAGTGCAGCCGCACGGGAAAGACATTCGATCCACCTTGGAGAGAAGGACACGGATTAGCCCCGTGGAACTCTTACAAACCAAATAAAAGCCAGTACCTTCCATCAATCCCTCTGAATCTGGGATTACTTAATTCCACTTTGGCTAGACCGAATGGCAATCGAATTGCAAACAGAAATGTAAAGGGAAATGAAAGCTTAAAATGTAAGAGTCAACCCGGTTTTAAAACCCATATTTAAAATAAAAATGAGTTATAGTATTATACTAGAAGTATACTGCGTATTTTGTTTCCTGACCCCTCCTGTGCTTTCTCTACTTCTTCCTCCATTCTTCCTTTTTTCACCCTTCTCTTCATCCCATTCATTTTCTAAAAATGTTTCTGGCCTTTCCTCAAGACCCCTTTCCTAATGTATGCCAGCTCATGGGTCCAATTTTAAACAAACTTACTGCCCTCATCTTCACTTGCTGTTTTTAATCTAAATTGTATGACATTCCCCATATTAGTCATCTCTCTCTCTCTCTCTCTCTCTCTCTCTCTCTCTCTCTCTCTCTCTCTTTTGCCTTATTATAAGACTTCTCTGTCCAAGGTGTCCAAATTGACACCACTAAATATATTGTGTGGCCTGATCATGTGTGCTCATTGGGTTGCCCCTGTACCAGGTGCATGGATGCCAACTGAAGGGCACATTCATGACTCTGACTGGTGGACCCATGTGCTTAGTTCCTGGCTCCCTCCTTCCTTCCCCACTCTACAAGTGCCTCAAGTAAAGGGGATGGATGCTCATTTAATCAATATCTTAAAATTATTCAAGTGATTGGATTCTGTGGATAGCGTAGTGGGTTTCGGCAAGTGTTGTTGGACTGAATGCTTGAATAAGTGATATGTGGAATCCCGGGGATTCCAAGGGCACTCCTAAGATATTTACTAGTTGTCCCAGATTCCTCCAATTAACCTATATGCAGACCAGAGCACAGGCCACCAGAAAGAACCTGCACCTTATCCAAATGAGGAGAATTTCCTGTGCAACAGAGAAGGCAGACTCTCAAGCAGTCATCTGGGCCCAATAAAAATTAGTAGCAGATGTCAGAACCGGAATCGACAGCTGTTTTCTTACTCATTAATCCCTTTTCTGTGAATCTACCTCAAACAATTGTTCAGATGATGAGAACTACTTCCTCCTTCTGCCTGTCTGAGGGGCTCTCCTTATTAAAAAAAAAAAAAAGCCAAGTTTCTGCCTAAAATAATGACACCTAACTAATCATGGAGCACCCGTGCTATTATAGATGAATGGGGACTGGGGAATCATCTAATCCAGAGGTTGGCAAATTTTTTTTGGTAAAGGGTCAGAGAGGAAATATTTTAGGCTTTGTGGGTCATAGGTCTCCGTGGCAACGAGTTGGCTCTGCTGTAGAAGGTGATAGCTGTCGCAGGTAACACACAAACTGTGCGTCCATAAAACTTTATTCACACAAAACAGGTGACAGTCCAAATCGGGCCTGTGAGTTATAGAGTCTGACAACACCTGCTCAAGTTCAGCCCTTTCCCTGTAGAAATGGGGAGACTGAGCCCAGAAAGTGGACCTGACCTGCCAATTCCACGGAGCTGGCAACAAGCAGAGCCAGGAGGAGGACTGCTTTCTCTGTGTCAGTCTAGTAATGTTTCCGCTAGTCTATACCACCTCTCACCAGCCCTCATTTGCAACCCCTGGACGGATCCGAAAATAGAAACTCAAATGGCAGGGAACTGATGATCTGCCTGAATGCTTGTCAAAAGCCAAAATAAACTAGTGTAATAAACGGATCCAAGAGCAAGTAATGTCAGTTCACTCAGCGACAGCGTGGGTTGCCATTCACATCCTATCTGTGTGCCCGTACGTGTCCCTGAAAGAGGATTTCTCTTTTCCTTGAGTCGGGTGTCTTGTTTCCCCTGATGTTTTCTTCCTCCCCGCGGGAAACTTCATCACAGGGAACACGACTGCCTCTTTCGGGAGGGGTGTGCTACCCCCTGTCTTTGGATTCCCCGAGATGCACATCCTTACCTGGCACTTGATGCCTGCCAGGCTGCAGGTGCACGTTTCTGGGTCGCAGAACACGCGGCAGTCACAGCCGCAGTCCTCCCGCGACAGGCGGATGGCCCGCAGCTCGTGCTTCTCCTCCACGTCGATCCTCTTCACTCCGGACGCCCGCAGCAGTGCTCTTCGTTTCTTTGTCGGCAGGGGCTGCAGGAAGAAGTATTCGTCCACCTCGGTGTTGTCCAAGTCAATATCGTCATCAGAAATGTCATCCACTGTGAGAGTGCTCGCCTCTTCGGACTCCACGGTGCCGTTCTTCGTCATCTAGAGAAACACAGAGCGGCAGATAAAGAGACTTCGCGTGGGCAGAGGCCGCGATCCTAACGTTTACAGTTCCTAACAAAGAAGCCGTTACGTCGCATCAGGTCCCCACCACCCATAAGTGTTCGTGGATCCACTTATTTTCACTTCCACTTATTATTCTCTTTAGACAAGTCACAGGGCGGAAAAGGAGGCATCCAAAGGACAGGCTTTTAAATGCACACAAGACTGTTAATTGGATCTCTTCACCTCCTAATGGGAGAGCCAGAGTTGCTAGAGCTTTTAGCCAGTGCCATGTGGAAAAGACCGAAGGTTACAGATGCCCATCAATGGAAGCTATCTTTAGACTTGGTTCATGATGGGCGGCTCTGATGTTGGAATAAATTCACCCTTGTTCAGAGACGATAACACCTTCATGGGAGCCACTGCCACCTAAGTCAGCAAACACGCTGTCCTTGAGATGACCACCCTATCTTTGGGAGTCCAGCAAAAGCATGAACTGGGAAATGAAGATGTGTGGGATTGCACTATGGGGATTAGGAACATGGTTAACCTACGGGGCATTTCAAGCATTAGCCCTGGATAGGAAGCAATCAGCCAGGTCGGTGTGATCGCTGTGAGACAAGGAGCAGAGGGCAGTGCTGGCAGGAACTGGCCCATGGGCACCGAGACAATAACCTTGCCCTCAAAGGAGATCCCACGGACCTGTGCCCAAAGCAACACCTTCCTCATTACAGCTCCTGCGGACAACTGTCTCATCTACTCATAACTGTTCTGCTTCTATTTATATTTCTTCTCTAATTATTTCCATCCATCAGTAAGCCCTGTATCAGTATTTCACTTCTGACTGGTCTACCTCCACGTATTATTTCCTTCTTTAAAAAGCATTTAGAAAAAGAGGTTTTCTCTGGATATAAGCAAAAATATATTCTAAGGGGTAACACAGGAATACATGCCAAAGCTCTATAAGGGATTATTCAAAAAAGTTTTAAATACTGAAGCTTTTTTGATTCTTTAATTGTCAAATCTATTCATATACATCGCTAATTGTAATCATTTCCATGCTTTTTGATCTTAACGGTTCGATCATGACACAGTTAAAATGCTCTGGTGACATCAGACATCAATCTCTCAACTTCATAGAAAAGGTCTGACATTTAACTTAGAATATTAATTATTGACCCCAAATCCGAAACTGGATTACTCTGAATGTACTGAAAAATGAATAGAAGAGGGGTCTTTGCCCTCAAGGAGAGGAAACAACATAGTAGCAAGTATATATTAAAATGTATTTCAAAGGTTTCCTGAAATGCATTAAAAAAACAAACCCAAAAAACTATTGTGTTGTACTTTTTGAATATTTCAGGACTTAAATCTATTTTCTTGCAGAGGTGTGCATTCCCCTTCATTAGGTTTTATTTCTTGGCATGATCTGCAAATTTTTCCTTCATTGGCATTTCTTTATAAAGGTGTTTGTTCAACTGTTTCTGGATGTCCACTGTTAGAACGTTATTTTGAGTGGTTGCTGTTACCATTTGTGTTAATTCTTATTTGCAAACAGAAGCATCTGTAAAGAACTGATTTGCTAAGGAATTCAAGTGTGTAATTGCCTAACATCAATTCTCTGTGATAGGAAAAGATGTGTTATCACACAGGAAGAGTAACCTTTCCCATCTTGTCACCTCTGTGGCACTTAGATTTGTTTTCATTGACTCTTGGCTTGCCTAAGTGAACCCCCTCAAACTTCTGACTCCACGGAATATGTAGAACATCGAGGACTTGATCAGACATGCTTAATTGCTCCATTTAAATTAAAATACCAGAAGTATTCTGGAAGAATATATTCTTAAAGGTATTGCGTTTGCCCAGGACTGAGGGCCAGTGTGGTCTCCATCACTTTGGTTAGGCATATTTTCTCTGTACTTGTCAAAATAGATTATGCATATGAGATGGCAAGTATTTGGAATATTAAAGTTTTCCATTTGGTGTTGGAGCAGGCCTCCATTTGGGGATGTATTCTGGGGCGGCAAAGCAGTAAGTATGCCCTTGAGTAATCTCTATAGAGCTTAATAGAGAAGTTCAGTAGGGATAAGTGAAGGTAAAAAATATCATGACCAATAGATGTTGACTCATCTAATAAAGAACTATGGTATGAGGAAACTATTTAAAAAACACATCCAAAAATTTTGTAACTAAAGTTTTGAGATAATAGACTGTGTCTACCATCTCTTACAAAGTACTAATCCTTTTTATCTCCTCCAACATTTAGGATCTTATAACTAACCTAAAGGCTAGTTATATCACAGGACTGTTATAGGGATACAAGGATCAGGGCTGGGGTGAAGATGGAGAATTGTAATGTTGCATGGGTCAGTCACTAAATGAATAAAATACAGTCATAAATGTAAGGTTTGGGGTGTAGAAGATTTAGATAGATTTTAAAAATTGATGATTATAGGAAGAGTTACCATCTGGCAACATTTTTTATGAGGAAAAAGAGCAAATAACCAAGTATTTTTCAAGAAACATATGACCGAGAAACAGAAAAGTGTATAACCCTGGGAAGATATTGGAAATGGTACCAGAGGGGAGATAGTCCTCATCTCAGGAAGGAGAGGAAGAACAAAGGTTGGAAAAAAAAACATTGAAAGAGGCAGTCAAAGCTGTGAAAGCAAAATTAAATTTTCTAGAACAAGGTAGTAGAATCCAGTATGCTTTAACTCAGAGGCAACCGGGGAATGCCAAGGCTCTTTGAAATGTTCAAATGGCTGCCTAATGCATTTTACAGATACAAGTGAAATGGGAATAAATGCTAATCTAATTGTTCAACAGTGTGGTGCTGATGATGAAATCTAAGCACTTAATTTGGAAGAGTATAGTATTAAGATGACTGCATTGATTACTGTGAAGAGTATGACATGTTTGAATGCGCTTGACAGAGAAAAAGAACTGTGCTCTGTAATTTAGAAATCTAAAGGTAGTTATTTCTTCTGGGACCATGCATTTTATTCAATCAGCTTTCTCTATTAATTGTTTTTAGACAATGTTTGGAACATCAACAATAAAAAGGATACACTTAAATCCCCCAAATAAAATTGTAGTGTTTTTTTTCTACAAATATAATTGTACATATTATTACTCAATATATCTATCTCATAATTTGATTGAGATGAATTACTAAATTGGAAGAAATTTTACAATGAAAAACTAATCTCTATTCTTTAAATATATATATATATATATATATATATATATATATATATATATATATATATATTATTGGTTTTTTACAGAAAGGAAGAGAGAGGGAAAGTTAGAAACATCAATGAGAGAGTTAGAAACATCCATCAGCTACCTCCTGCACATCCCTCACTGGGGTTGTGCCCACAACTAAGGTACATGCTCTTGAGTAGAATCGAACCTGGGACCCTTCAATCCACAGACTGAAGCTCTATTCACTGAGCCAAACCAGTTTTTCGACCTAATCTTTATTCTTAATTTGACCTCAACATACTTATTATAAGGAAACATTAAGAAGTGTGGATGTTTCTTTTTACTAATTCTCCACTATGAAGGCCCCATTGGAAGAGGTGGTATGGAATACATTGGGTTGGAGGCATAGAGGAAAGAGAAAACGTCTCTTTACTGCTTTGGGGCTGTTGGTTCTCAAATAAGTAGGAGGGAAACTGCCTACTTCCAACTCCAAAGTTTCCTGTGGTGTTTTATCTGGTCTCCATAGTGAGAGCTTTGGAAAGTGTTTGTCTTGTCAGATGCTGCCTTCTCTCTGCTTTACTCAGCAGGCAGCTTACTGCCTCTCACAGAGGACCACCTCCAGGCAAAACTCAAGTGGCAGTTTGTTTGCAGCAATCCTGGCTTTCCTCTTTGGACCCCTTTCTGTGCCGTAATCCTTCCTGCTGCCTCAGTGAAAACAACAAGATCACTTTAGCTATATTTGTTTTTCGACTTACCTCTGAAGGATTTTTATTTCAAAACAAATGTTGCTATTATTAAAAGTAAAATTTTAAGTTTCAGAGCAAAATTTTTGGATAATTAGTATGATTTTTTTTCAGTTAATGTTTTTGGATAGCTAATTTTAGATTTTGGATAGCTAAGCCTTATCCTAATAGAATCAGTGATATGTCAAAAACCATGAACATTAATATGCTAGAGGAATCACAATGAAAATATACAAGCTTTCCTCCATTAATACTAGTCAGTTTTTTTTTTTGTTTTACTTTTTTAATTAATTTTTTTAGCAAACTGGTCCACATTGCTGTGATCTTTTATTAGGCTCACGTGATCATGTGATGTGTGTTTCTGAGTTTCTGAATACTTGAAGTATAGTGAGGCTACAAATTAGAATCCCATTATCGTTTTGCTTGGTATTCATCTGGAAGAAGCTACCCTATCCAAATGATTTTTGTTTCCATCTTCACCTCAAGCAAAGACTGCATGTTTTTACTCCTCTGCTTATCAATGACAAGCTAAGACATAACACCTACTCAGATGATTGCTTCTCCAACTTCCAACACAAAGCACAAGGAATAAAATGAATTAATAACAGAATGCTCTTTTTGTTTCTTTTCTTGGTCGGCTTGTTAACAACAACAACAAAAAAGAGGCATAGAAGTAGCTGAATAAAAATGGCAGGATCAGAATACATCGCTGCCTGATGTGGAGGAAGGTTCCCATAGTTGTGTGGCTCCCCCTGATATCCATCACGTGCACAATATGCTTCCAAGTTCACAAGAAATCTTTTGGTTTTCAGATAGAATTATAATCCCCCAGCAGTTAAAAACCACCGTACACAGTACTAAACCTCAGAAAGGGACGGCTCCCTGTTGGTACACAGATTGTCTTTCCCAAGGTCTATAGGGGATAATCAATTAATTTTGAAGAGGAAGTAACAAGATCATATGACCAGTTTTCTGCGGAGTGAGCCAGCCAAATCACATCTTGGTGCGTCTTCTGCTTTAGTTGTACACATGGTCTCATAATTTACTTCTTCCACTGGGTCTCTGTTAATATGAACTTAAGTAATGTTTATAAAATGTCTGACAAATAAAAATTACTGAATGAATGGCAACCATTCCTATTGAGTTTGAAGAATGACTTTACTCTTTTGAATAGGGTATAGAGTTGGTTTGTAGTGGGTTAGAAAGGCAGAGGGTGGATTTCACCAACAAATCTGAAAATTATTAAATCAAGCAGCATGCAAAGCAATCATGAACAACAACAATAATAATGGATTGCTACCAAAAAATCTTAAGGGACATTTAACGAAAGATGGCAAAAACACATCCAAAGGAAATACGATACATGCTCTTGCTGATTGAGTCCAGCTTAATTTAAGTAACTACCTTTTTGTGCAATTGGGAGCAAAGCACATATATAAATAGCAAAATGCACAAAAACAAGGTACTTGGAAACACACATCATATCTCTGCCAACTTTATACTAGAAACTAAAAACTAAAGATACAGGTAATAATGGTATACTTATGGTGTTTCAGCTATTTGATGAATAACCCTTTATGTTAAGTCCTCTGGATTACCTGGAAAGATTTTCTTTTGTCACTGGATAATGATGGGGGAGCATTTTATAGATATATTGGTAGGTTGATGAATCACTGCAGATATGAAACGAGCGTTTGGTCGATGAAAGAGGTTTTCTGAGCTTTGTTTCTCTCCAGTTAATCTCTAATGTGACAGAACAATGGGTATCTCCACCTGGACACCTCCCTGACATGTCTTAAAAAACTCAAAAGCTTCTAAAAATTAGTATGTCCAAAAAAACTTCTCATTATCTATCCGTCCCCCACACCTCCAGTTCCAATCTGTATATCCTCCTGGGTTCTTTATCTTATCCTTGTCAATAGAGAAAGATACTATCATCCACAACCTACTCATTTTTGTAAGCCAGAAATTTAGGAGTTGTCTTTTCCTTCCAAATCCCACCCATTATCAAGAAACTGTTGATTTACTCCCAATATTTCTCCCTCTGTCTATCTCTTTTCATCTTCCCTACCATCAATCTAATCTAGCTCACCATCATCTTTCTCCTTGACTGTTGTAATAGCCTCTTACCTGGTCTAACTCCACATGCCACCCCCGCCCCCGCCACCGACACACACATGGCTGTCCCCACCCTGTACCCCCAAAATATTCTCACATCAGAGCATGAACCAGATCACATTATCCCACCAACCCAAACCCATGCTGAGAACTGTTGGATGATTTCTGATGAGCTAAGGATGAAGAGAGAAATAACAAAGCTCCAACAGGATCTACAAGGCCTGTCCCAACTCCTTCATGTCATTTCACTCTGTCTCTGCTGCACCCACACCCGCCTCCGTGTGCTCACTTCTTCCTGCCACAGAGAGCTCCGGGCCTTCTGCTGCCAGAACCAATCTTGCCTCTCCTTCTCGCCTAGTTATCTGTTCAGGTTTCAGCTCAGTTGTCATTCCCTTGCAGAAACCTTCTTTGACCTTCAGATCACACTCCTCTATTATATACTTTTACAGCACCTTCCAACTCTCCTCCATAGCACTTAATACAGCTGTGATTCTATTTTGTCTACATGATTAATATTTTCCTTTCCAGTTAATATATTAATATGTAAATTCCAGGAGAAAAGGAACCATAGCTACTTGTGGTACCAGTTAGCCCTAGCCAAAACACAGGATCTATGATCTAGAATTACTAAATAATATACCTTTTCAAAAAAAAAAAGGTTTTATTATATCTCACTACCAATTTTACACACACACACACACACACACACACACACACACTGAGCATCCCCACCCGCCCTTGCCCTCAGGGGCCAGAGTTCTGAAGCACCTTTTCCCCTTCTATTTTTAAGCCCAGAGTTTGAAGGCCCAGAAAGGGATCAGCCTTCCCCCAAGGTCACACAGCAGGGAGGGAGATGGATAGAGGAAGGGGACCTAGGTGGGCAGGCAACCCTGCACTGTCTCCTTGGAATCCTAGGGAGTGTGGGCCTCGGTTGTGTGGAAGAAGTGCTCCTCATTCTGGGCCATATATGCCTTCTGTCTGCCGCTTCTCCTGCAATTTCCGCAACACTAGCAGCACCAGCCCCACAGGGCAGCCAACAGGGAGAAGACCTCCATGACGGCAGCGGTGACCACCTCATAGAATGAATTATGCATATGCAATATCAGGGAACTTTCCCACATCATTCCTTTCAGTGAAGAAACTATACCGATTTTGCTTAAGAAAGAAAAAAAAGGAAGGAAGGAAGGAAGGAAAGGAAGGAAGGAAGGAAGGAAGGAAGGAAGGAAGGAAGGAAGGAAAGAAAGAAAAAAAGGAAGGAAGGAAGAAAGGAAGGAAGGAAGAAAGGAAGGAAGGAAGGAAGGAAGAAAGGAAGGAAGGAAGGAAGGAAGGAAGGAAGGAAGGAAGGAAGGAAGGAAGGAAGGAAGGAGAAAGAAAGAAAGAAAGAAAGAAAAAAAGGAAGGAAGGAAGAAAGGAAAGGAAGGAAGGAGGGAAGAAAGGAAGGAAGGAAGGAAGAAGAAGGAAGGAAGGAAGGAAGGAAGGAAGGAAGGAAGGAAGGAAGGAAAGAAGGAAGGAAGGAGAAAGAAAGAAAGAAAGAAAGAAAGAAAGAAAGAAAGAAAGAAAGAAAGAAAGAAAGAAAGAAAGAAGAGGAAGGAAGGAAGAAGGAAGGAAGGAAGGAAGGAAGGAAGGAAGGAAGGAAGGAAGGAGGAAGGAAAAGGAAGAAGGAAGGAAGGAAGGAAGGAAGGAAGGAAGGAAGGAAGGAAGGAAGGAAGGAAGGAAGGAAGGAAGGAGAAAGAAAGAAAGAAAGAAAGAAAGAAAGAAAGAAAGAAAGAAAGAAAGAAAGAAAGAAAGAAAGAAAGAAAGAAAGGAAAGGAAGGAAGGAAGGAAGGAAGGAAGGAAGGAAGGAAGGAAGGAAGGAAGGAAGGAAGGAAGGAAGGAAGGAAAGAAAGAAAGGAAGGAAGGAAGGAAGGAAGGAAGGAAGGAAGGAAGGAAGGAAGGAAGGAAGGAAGGAAGGAAGGAAGAAAAGAAAAGAGAAAAAAGCTGTAGCAGGCAGTCTGCTGTGTAAAATACCCAGTTTGGCCTGTGGATGTAACCATGAAAATGCTTAACTCAACCAAATTGAAGAAAAGACACGGGGTTCGGCAAAAAGTGCGCTCCCGTTCTGCTCACCTTTAGCTTTAAGGAGTTGAGCTTCTCCTCCCTGAGGTGCTCTCTGAGCATCTCCCGGTGGATGCGCTCCTGCTCCCTGGCGAACTCGCCCAGCGTGTACTGGCGCACGCTGTTGTGGCGGCTGGACATGCCCAGCGTGCTGCCCCCCTGGCTGGGCACGCTGGTGAAGCCCTGCCGCCGGGTGAAGTAGTACACGGTGACGCAGCTGAAGTGCACATTCCTGGTCCGCAGCCGCTTCTCCCTTTTGAGGATGGAGGAGGCTGGAAGAGAAAGGAGCAGGATACAGTGAGCACTTGGGGCGGCGGTTTCAGAGGAGGCCAAGAATCAGAAACTGCCGCCTGAATCTTTTGGCCAATCCCTTTTGGCGGGGACACACAAAATAGGTCATCTCTCAGGATGAGCGCATATTTCTGTCATTTCGTCAATCTTTCTCTAGCTGTGGTGGAGAGACGTTGAAGTTCCACAAATAGTAGTAGTCTAAACAAAACTTTAGGAAAGTTGCCAATAGCCTATGGATCTGTAGCATAAATTACTCATTTCCCCAAGCCTCTGAAGTCCCTGTTTTATGGTTTTCACATAAGTTGCATCAGACTTTAGTCAGAAAAGACATACTACAAACCTTCACACTTTGGGTCTCATTTTGATACAGAGGCCATTTCTGTTGTTCCAAGTCCCTTGGCATAAAATATGTGTCTACTTAAAATTTTCAGAAAATTCTAAAAAGCAATAAAAATTCACCAAAAAAAAAAAAAAAAAAGCTTACTGGCAGTATTTAGATATTTTTACAATTAAAATTTAACAAAGTTTTTATTTGATATGAATCTGATTAAATAGCATTATGGACAGGGGGATTTTAATCTAAGTGTATGCTGAGACCATTGAAAATGCCATGAGATCTTTTATTAGTTACTAGAGGCCTGGTGGACGAAATTTGTGCACTGGAGGGGGAGGAGGGGAGTCCCTCAACCAGGCCCGTGCCCTTTCTCAGTCCAGGAACCCTCGGGGGATGTCTGACTAACAGCTTAGGCCTTATAAAGAGGGGGCCTAAGCCATCAGTCAGACATCCTTAGTGCTGCAGTGGAGGCATTAGAGGCTCCTGCCACTGCCACTGAGCTCGCCAGCTGTGAGCCAGGCTTCTGGCTGAGCAGTGCTACTCCTGTGGGAGTGCACTGACCACCAAGGAGGCAGCTCCTGTGTTGAGCGTCTTCCCCCTGGTGGTCAGTGCACATCATAGCAATTGGTCACTCTGCTGTTCAGTTGATTTGCATATTAGCCTTTTATTATATAGGATAGGGACTCAAGATGCATAGAGCATCGTGGAGGGTTGATACACATGCAGTAGGTGACAGAGAGAAAGTCACATCCTAATCAGGAACTTTTAGAGTTGAAAGACATGCTAGACATCATCTAGACCAGTGGTAGGCAAACTCATTAGTCAACAGAGCCAAATATCAACAGTACAATGATTAAAATTTCTTTCGAGAGCCAAATTTTTTAAACTTAAACTTCTTCCAACACTACTTCTTCAAAATAGCCTCACCCAGGCTGTGGTATTTTGTGGAAAAGCCACACTCAAAGGCCAAAGAGCCTCATGTGACTCATGAGCCACAGTTTGCCAACCATGGATCTAGACCAAATTTTTATTTTATAGTGAAGTGACCCAAGCTTGAAGAATTTGAGTAGTTTCTTTCAGTGTGGATAGTTAGTGGCAAAACTAATCTTAAACCCAAAAGCTCTGGGTCTGTTGCTATATTATATGATACTTCTCCAAGGTACAATGAATTGAAGAGACAGATACAGAATAATGCTGTTTTGGACTAAACTGTGCCTCCTCATCCCCAAAATATATTGAAGTTCTAACTCTCAATACCCTGGATGTAACCTTATTAAGGAATAGTGTCATTATAGAGGTGATCATGTTATGGTAAAGTCTTTAGGGTGGGTCTTAATCCAATATGACTGATGTCCCCATAAAAAAGGAAACAACTGGACACAGACATGCACAGAGGGATGATGTACAGATATAGGGAGGAGCCTAAGTGAAGATAGAGACAGATGGGGATTTTGCTGCCAAAGCCAAGGAATATTTGGGGCTGCCAGAACCTGGAAAAGGCCAAAAAGGCTATTCCCTTTCAACTTTCAGAGGGGCATAGCCCTGCCAACACCTTGACTTTGATCTTCTAGTCTCCAGAACTGTGAGACAAGTAATTTCTGTTCTAAGCCACTGAGTTGGTGGCATTTTTTTTTTTTTACAGCAGCTTTAGGAAACTAATACTTGCTCAAATAGAAAAACAGACAGGAAGAAACAATGAACTGAGAATAAATCCTTGAATAGAAGAATATAACAAAAACTAACATTTGCAATGTGCTTCCTAAGTTGTGGATTATGCAAAGAACCTTACATGAAGTATTTTATCTTTATAACTCCCTGTGTTGATATTACCCTTGTCCCCATCTTTATTTTGAGGAAACCAAGTCATCAAAAGTTAAATAGCATAGCCAAGGTCATATAACCAGTGGTGAAGCTGGGATTCATTATTCCTGAGCCCAGGGTTTTAAACCTCCTGTCACAGTGAGAGTGGAAGTCAGGGAGTTGCACAAGGTCGAGAGATGTCAACTGCTACTGTCTTCAGAGATGATCTTGATTTGGAAGGCTGCATAGGCAATGTAAAAAAAAGGCTACAATATCACTTCGAATTTATATAAGAATCTTCTTCCAAGTGGGTTTAAGTTTTTTTTTTGTCTTATTCCCCACCTCACTCAATAAAATATTTAAGCCAAATATAAAGTGGCTGCTATGATTAATCTCATTTCACAGATTTATGTATTCAACAAGTATTAACCAAAGACCTAGTAGGCACCAGGCATGTTCTAGATGATTGGATACATTGGTGAATAAACCAGCTGGTGATCCCTGACCATGAAACTTACGTTTCCTGTGCTGAGCTCAGACAGAATGACCAGATTTAGGAGAATAGAGAGTACGAGAAATAGGATGTTTGGGCATGATTTTTGCTTTCCCACCTTCCCCTCTTCCCTACTGCTATAGTAGTCCATAGGAGATTGCCAGAAAGCAAATGCTTTCAAATGAGTACATAATTTCCCCATTTATTTACATGTATGTTCGCTGCAACATCTACTCCTGGCAGCAGAGACAACTTTCAGCTTTGATTTAAAAGCTCTGATCTGCTTCATAACCGTATGTTTAAATCACCTCAAAAAAAGAGAAGCGTTTGTAAAAAATGTAAAGATCACCATAGAAAGCAAAATTCAACAATCTTTCTGGTGATCTGACAACCTCATCTGTCACCCCTTACAGCAGGCTAGAGCTTCTGATTTGGGGGTGATAATCTTCAACCTTTTTTACCCTTGATATCATAAAAATGATGCCCTGAAGTCATTATCTTTTAAGGCCATACTTTTATAGATAAGAAAAAATATTAATGTAGTAATTTAAGATAATTATTATAAGCACCTCTGACAATTTTATTACTTATATCTTCTTAGATAATTCATGGTACTCTAGACCAATTTCTTTCTTAAAAATTTATTTAGATCGTGGATCTGTATTTTTAGATTAAATGAAGAACTCTTCAATATTCTGCATGAATGTATTGTACCACCATTTTCTAAAACAAAACAAAACAGATTATCCTTTTCAGAAAGTCAGTCCAGAGAGGACTTTCTAAGAGAGATCAGGGGCCCCTTCACCTGGGTTCTTGGCATCACTAACACTGGTAAATTGTGCTAGATTAGTGCTGCTTCTGTCCCACAAGCCTTCACAAGTCAAACCTGTGCTTATGGTTGTCTTAGCATTTGCATTATTATAAATAGCACCAAGGAAAGAATGATTGAAAAGCCTACAAAGTATATTTAAACAGAAGGCTTTGAAATGCTATAAGATCAGCTGTATGAGGCATGTTTTAAGTGTGGGCTTCCTGAAAACTTAGGAGCCACCCGCGTCTCTCCTCTGATTGAAATGGAGCACTAGCCTGGGCTTTTATGGGCTATCTCCTGCCTCTAGGCTGCAATTTGACTAACATCACAAATGAAGTCATAAAAAGAGAGTCTGTTTTTCAAGCCTGGAAAAAACAGACAAATTCACTCGACATACTTGCCTTAGGAAATCCAAAACCTCCCTAATATACCTACCTAGTAATTTGTGCCCTTCGCAGAATGCTTGAACTCAGCTTTGTGCTTCTATAGAGTTTTGTGTTCAATTTACTACTGTGAGGTCAAGAGCAAGAAAACGGCAGGAGAAGTGGTCTTTCATTACTGCTTTAAAAAGAATTAGTCTGTTTTCATGCACAATACTAATGTTTTGGTGTTTTTTCAGCTCCTTTTCTTTTATCCCATTTATAATTAACTTCCCCCACCCCCTACCCAACATACAACCCTAAAGCAGAAGTGTCTGAATGCAACAATACTGCATATGCTGCCTAAGACACAGCTCTTGGGAACACCATTATGGTCACCACATCATAACGTGCATATTGGTGTTACTATAAAATGATCACATATTATGGCGATAATGCTGATTTCTATAAATTAAATAAGCAGCTCAGAGGGACTGATATTAGCTATCAGCAGGTTATTCTTCCTTAAAAATGCCTTAGAAATGAATGTTAAATAAAAATGGGAAAGTCACTCATTCACAGTGCCAGGGTAAGAATTTAATTAGATAAAGTAAAATAATCTGTATTACAAAATATATAATTAGTTCATGAGCAGAGTGGGTTAAAAAATGGAAGTCAAAACTAAATTTGGGGCAGTGTGTTTCCAGGGTGAGACAGTATTCTGATAAGACCAATATTCTGATCCCACAGAGGAGATGAATATATCAGGTATCAGAGTTGAACCACATTAATCTCTAAGAAAATTCAGCTGACTTTGTTTAATTTCCACACTCATAAACCAACCTGTTCATATAAAATGGGATACACCTTCAAATCAATAAGACTAATGAGTTGACACATCAATTTTGTTTCTTACTGCAAATGATTTGTTTCAAATATATACTTTAGCCATTAGTGAATGTGATTAGTGCATACCATGTCATCTGAAATTGCCTTCTCCTCACACACAGAGAACATCATCATGCGGAGACAGAGGGAAGCCGGATAGACAAGAGACAAGAACCACGATGGGAGGTAGGAAATAGAACCGGGAAATGCAGCTGGGTGGGGAACGAAGGTCACACATAGGAGACAAACTTTAATATGTACGGATGTTGCTAAGACAGGCAGCTTGCAAATAACCA